CATACCTGTCTAGGTATGAACGTACTCATGTGGGTATGAACATACGTACGAGTGCGTATGCTACGTTACGTACTTACGCAGAGGCAGGCACCTCGAATACGTACGTACCGCATGTAACAACCCGAACCGCCGGTCCTCCGGGCTCGAAGCCGGGAAAGTATGGGCTGTTGTTACGGCTTAAGACACCACGGATTATCTTTGCCAACAAGTATGGGGGTTGATGGCGCGTTTCGAAACAAAGAGTGGTAGGTTCCTCAATCACAAATAAATGAGAACAAGAACACAAATAAAAGATCAAAATAGCATTCCGCATAAGTACTCCATGGTACTGCTAGCAGCAGGATGCATCCCTTCGTCGCGTCTTCATATATATACCGTATATATACAAACTATTTTTACTGCAGGACGGCTCCCTCTATAGACGCCTTCGGTTTGCGGTTTCGTGATGGCAGCAGCCTTTGTTGCCTTCTTGTACAATCCGTTTGGTGATCGAACCCAATCCGAGACACGCAACGCAAACACCACACCACACCACACGCACACAAACCAGAAACTCCCTGTCTCTCACACACTCTCTCCAACACCCCCCCCCGGCTTCCACCCGATCGCTGCCGGAACACAGCCAGTCCGAATCCATTCGAATCTCCATTCCAATCCAATCCCATCCAAAACCAGGAGCCGACGACGGCCAACCAACAAGGAAAGAAGCAAACAAGCATGCAAGCAAGCATGCACGATAGCAAGGCCTCCCGTCTTCTGCGCTCCGGGGCTGTCTTTGCGGCGGCGCTCCTGGCCGCGGCGACGGCGACGGCAATGGCGTGTGCGATCGCCTGTTGGAACAAGGACCGCATGTCCCTCCACGGCGGCCACCCTTTCACCACACACCCGCATCATCCTCAACACCACCGTCCGCATCCGCATCCGCACCCGGATCCGGGCCCGGCCACCCCCGACCCGAGCAGGGGCCGGAACGGCCTCCCCATCGACTACGTCCCGGAGATCAGGCCCACCGAGTACACCCTGGCGGATGACACCATCGTCTACTCCTTTGGCGGCGGAACAAAGAAGATCTCGAGCCTCTACTGGTCGGGCCAAGGCGGTGGCAAAGACGGAGACATCGACAGAAACAGAAACAGCAACAAAAACAACGAGAGCATCGGCCACAGCGAGAGCGACCTGGATTCCATCGAAGACCTCGAACGAGTCGACCCGGACGCCCGGGTCATCGACCTCCCCTGGGAGCTCACGGAAGAGCTCCTCTCCTTCTGCGAGGGCACCGGCCTGATGGACCTCTTTCGGTGGGCCGTCTCGGCCGACTACGACGACGAATACGACGACGACGAACACGAATACGAGAGCGACGCGCTGGAGCCCGGGGGAAAGGAGAGCGGCCTCTTCCACGGGGCCCCCTACGCCTCGGTCCCCCCCACCAAGTGGGCCATCCGGAGGGCGAACTTTGGGACCGATCCCTCTGCCGTCGACCTGCACTGGGTGGACGGGATCGACGAGGCGACCTTCGAGGAGACCGTCTCGGTCCTGGCCAGGGGGGGCTTCGACGCCGTCCTGGAGGCGATCGCCACCGACTTTGTCCCGAGGGGGGGCGGCTACGCCATGGCCGGCCTGGGCTTTCTGGTGGTCTCCCGGTCGGTGGCCTCGGAGGTCCACGCGGACAACCCGGGGGGGAACTCGGGGCTCTTCAACCTCCTGGTCCCCCTGGTGGTCCCCCCTCCTCCGCTGGGGGCCGAGTTCCACCTCGGGAGCGAGGCCTCCAAGAAGGTCGCCCCCCTGGGCCTGGACCCCGGCGTGGGACTCCTCCTGGGCTCCGACACCCTCCACGGGACCCCCGACTGCGACTACCGGAGGCAAGGTGGCAACGGCAGAGGCAGCACCAAGAGCAACGGCAAACGCCACACCAACGCCGGATACGGCATGCGCGTCTTTGCCTCCATCTACATCACCGACGTCCGGGAAGACAACGTCGGCCTGGTGGCGGGGGACGGGACGGCCCTCTTCCCCATCCCGGGCCAGGAGGGCTGGCTCCTGGCCCAGAGGTCCCGGTTCTCCGGGGGCCCCGGGAGCTTTGCCAGGGACCTGGGCCGGGAGCCCTTCCACCCGACCGATGCCGACCCTCAGGAGTGCCCCCTCCTGGCCAGCAGGGGCTGGTGCGAGCCGGGGAGCGAACACCATTCGAGGGTGGTGGCAACGCCGGTGGAGGGGAGGCCCTTGGTGGTCGCGGACCTCTCCGGGGGGGACAGCCCCTGGGAGGTCCGGCTGGCCTGCCCAAAGAGCTGCGGGGTCTACCTCGACGACGACACGGACTACTTCGACCGGTTCGCGGTGGCCCGGGAGGACTACTACCGGGAGGCCTTTTTTGCGTGACGTAAGAACGCGAAATACGGAATATATGTTCATACATAGAGGCGCCACCAACACGAGCGAAACGCGTGCAAACAGCTGGGCTATTATAAGAACAGCTGGAGCTAAATATATCAGTCCGCTATTTATACCTCCTCCAATGCAACAAAACAACGCAACAAAACGACGCGAAACGACGACCACCAAGTGCCTCGTGTCCGGCAGGAGCACCACGAAACCATGCGGCGCTTGGACCCCTTGGGTTCCTTGGAGCAAGCACCGCTTCCACGCTGTACCGGCAGGCAGGCAGGTCGGGTCTGGTCTCCACCTCAAAATGCGTGCCATGCGAAATTCAATACCGCAACCTACGGTAGGTAGGTATGTTAAAGGAGAGCGATGCCTGCCTCGAGATGGAACGGGCCCGTCCGGAGCGGGTCGGTCTCGAACTAGGCGCCCGGTCTACGGGAAACAAAATAACCATTTAGAATTTATTTAGCAATACAGTACAGTAATAGCGAGTCACAAAGCGATAGAAAGAAGTGCACCGAATACAGAGACGACAGGTGCCCCCTCGATTCGATTCGATTCGCTCGGGGTCCCCCGGGATGCCGAGTGCCGCTTTTTTTTTTGCGGCAGACGCCAAGAGTCGCACCGGATGGGTCGTTCGCCGGTCCGGCCGGCGGCCCCTGCCGCAAGAGCCGTGCCCCACCCACCCACCCAACCTTTTTCCGAACGAACAATGAATCGGTCGGTCACACGTCGTAGACCCGACAGATGGAATCCTGTTCGGAATCCTGCTCGGAACCCTGTCTGGAACGTTTCCTCTCGTGTTTCGTCATGGCGGACCGACACTCCACCAGGAACCCCTCCGCGAACTTGCTGGATCCCATGGCCAGGTTCATGTGGTTCAAAAATCGCTGTGGGGGCACCAGGAGTTCCACCCCTCCCCCCCACCGGTTGTCCCCGAGGACCAATCCCAGTTCCCTCCGAAAGGCCGCCAGGACCCTCCGGGCGTCTCTCAGAAAGCCGCCCAGGGACCCGTCGAACCGCTGGAGTTCTTCCGGGCCGCCGAGGGGCGATCTGTAGTAGAGCCGTTCGTGGCTCGTCTGCGTGTTCAGCCCGAGAACACCCTCCGCGAGATCGAACCGTCGCGCCGCAACGGCCAGCACCTTCCCGATGTCTCCCACGTCTCCGAGAAGCAGGGTCGTTTCGGGGTTGTCCCCGTTCTTAAAGGTGTCGCCGAGCAACGAGAAGGCGTACCGGGCGGCCGTCCACGTCCYGGTGGCTTCCCGAAACTTCGCGGGGTGCCTCCCGGTGCTCTTCCTCCCGGCGCCGTCGGCGGCAAGGTTCCTTCCCCTCGGTTTCTCGGCATCGAAAGGGGTTGCGGGCGGTGGTTTCTCTCGTGGCCGGGTCCAGATCGTTTGAGACGCCTGTGCTCCGGTCCAGATCGTTCTGGGCACCGGCTCAACGTCGGCTGGAGTCGTGGGTGGCGGTGCCTCTTGTTTCCTGGTCCGCTTCGTTCGAGGAACTCCATTCGCGCTGGCCAGGGTTGCCGGTGTCGCATATTGTTGCCGGGAACGCTTCATCTGAGGCACTTGCTTGGCATCCACCGGGGTTGCCGGTGTCGAATCTGATTGCCAGCTTTGTTTGGTTCGAAGCGATTGCCTTTTGGTGTTTTCAGAGATAGCTAATGATGCCTCTTGTTTTTGGATCCGATTCGTTTGAGGTGAGTGTTTGGTGTTGGTAGCCGATGCATCTTGTTGCCGGGTCCGTTTCCTTCGAGGCGATTGTTTGGCGCCAATGGGGATTGCTGCTGATGGCTCTCGATGCCGGGTCTGGTTCGCACGAGGTCCTTGGTCTGTGTCGATCGAGACTAAAGTCGTCGCATCTTCTTGCCGGTATTGCATCGATCGAGGCACTTGCTCGGAGTTCACAGGGGTTGCCCGTGTCACATCTTGTTGCCGAGCCAAAGCCAAAGCCTCGTCTCCCGTTTCAGCCGACCCCTCGATGTCACTCATTACCTTCCATACGAACTCCGCAGCAGAAGTAGAAGCCATGTTGTTCTTTGGTTGCCGAGCCCAAATAACGGCCTTGTCTCGTTTCTTCACCAATCCAGCGATTTCGATTTCTTTTTTCTCGATGTCGTGCGAGAGTTGAACGATCAATTGCGTTATAATGCCGTAAGTAGTATCGTTCGAATTCCTGTTCTCCCTCTGTTGCCGTGCGAGGTCATCGGCATCCTCCCGTGATTTGATCAATCCGGCGAGCTTCTCATCTTGTTTCGCAACCTCCTTGACGTAATGATCGGCGAAAGCTTCGGTAATCCTCGCCTCGAACGTCTTGGTGCCTTCGTTCGAACCCCCGACTTCCACGTCTTTGTTGGCACGAACTGCCACGGTTTGCGTCGTACGCGCGTTCCTTTGTTTGGCGCACTGGGTCTGGTGCAACACAATGTCCTTGAGTTCCACCAATTGATCCTGAAATTCTGCGACCTTGTCTTTCAATTCCACAATCGTATGCCTCAGCTTCTTCGCTTCGTCGGTCTCACCATCACTGTGCACGATTTTTTCCTTTGCATCCACAACCCGATCATGGGACGCCATATTTTTGTCGTTTTGTTCCTCTGCCTTTCTTCCGACTTGGCCAAAATTTTCTATGCCGTCTCTTGTAGTTCTTGCGATGGTTAACAAAAAGTCCAGGAGCGACAACATGTATGTATGTATGGTGGCCGTTTGTACTCTTTCTGCTGCTGGTTTGCTTTGTTCTTTATTCGTAAATCGAAGCTGCCTACAGTGTTCCGTCACGGTTTCTTATCATACCGAGGATTCATGATGGGACGGAGGAAGAAATGGTGCGATAATACTTTACTTCACCTTTGATGTATTTTGGCTAGACACGCATTTGCTGATTTGCCATATGTGTAAAATGCATGCTACGAAGACTCAAAAAGCCTAAATCCCCGTCGCTTGTTGCCAAAAAATGTTGCCATCTCGCAACCGAGAATGAGTTTTTGAATCCAATTCATCGATCACAAAACACAGTATGAGAGTAATGTACAAGGTAGGTACGTACTATACCATGCTTTACGTAGAGTTCCGATAGAAAACTACAGTAAAGGTTGGAACTGAGAGGAGAATAACCTCAACCCAAATCACATACACAATCACGTGAGATGACAGACAGCGAAGCCAGCTGCAATACACTCACTATTTACTGTAAACACCCAATAATATGCACTAGAGAGCCTATTAACATTTCGCAGGTTATGAGCAACCAAAAACTTACCCGCTCCATTTCCTCAATTGTTTTTTTTCTAAGTACTTAACCCGCGCGACCAAGGTGCTCTGGGAGTCACATCAATACCGATGTTCTTTTGGAGATCGTGAGTGTTCCAGTACGGTCTGGTAAGCGCGAACTTGAAGTATTCGTAGAATAATATATTGTTTTGCGAGACTCCAGCAAAACAAGGGATTCAAAACTGAGTTGCCAGATGGCACGTTTCGAGTACGGTGCCAGTGCGAACGTACTGTACCAACAATCGCAAAACGAATGCAGTACGTACCGTATCTTGCGTTCAGAATTTTGATCCCAGAACTACTAGTGCGTACCGGCAGTCATCGGACGAGACGAAGGATACGAAAAAGTCAAAAATCATTCGCCAACTTGCCACTCGGAAACACAAATTGGCAGGAAGACACAGCGCAAGTAATACGAGTGGACATTCCAACTTTTTCGACGCTGCTGTCCTATAAGCTAACTTCTATTCTCGTACGATAAAAAAACACGATGGATACCCTTTCCACAGAAGAACAAAACCCTACCCCGGACGACCAGAGACCGGTGTCCTTTGCCATCGTTTCGACCGCCGAGATCGCCAAGAACAAGGTCATCCCCGGTCTTTTGTCGGTTCCTTATGCGGTCCTCGTCGGTGTATCCTCGCGCAGCAGGGAAAAGGCTCAGGCGTTTGTCGATGAGCACTGCGGGGGAGCTCCCTGCATGGGCATGACCCATGACGAGATCTTTGACGGCGTTGATGCCCCGGGTACCACCGCGACTCCCCGGATCGATGCCCTGTACGTCCCACTGCCCTCGGGGGTCCGGAACAGCTACCTCAAGAGGGCCCTCGAGCTTGGCAAGCACGTATACTCCGAGAAACCGCACGGTGGCACCGTGAACGAGCTAAGGGCCGTCCTCGACCTGGCTGCCTCGAAGAACCTTCAGTGGATGGACGGTACCATGTGGTATCATGCCCACCGCACCAAGGAGATGGAGGAGCGACTCCTTCCGAGCAGCAGCAATGCCAGTGGCAACCCCAAACCTCTCGGAAAGGTCCGACGGGTGTCGGCGAGCTTCACCTGGGGCGGCGGTGGCCTCGTCGACGAAGCGTGGAGAGAGGGGGGGAACGGAAGGACGGACCCCCTCCGGGAGCCGATGGGGATGCTCGGAGACAGCGGCCACTATCCCGTCTCTGCCGTCCTATGGGCCTTTGGCTGGGAGCTCCCAACGATGGCAAAGGCGGTGTACACAAAGCGCAACCGCCTCGGGGCCATTATCTCCGTCGAGGCAGTCCTGTGGTTCGAGGACGGGGGCCGGGCGATCGTCGACGCGAGCTGCGAGCTCCCCCACCGGTCCCAGTTCGAGATCGTTTGCGACAACGGGATCCTGAGGGTCGACGACCTGGTTGGCGGTCAGGGCCGGTCGGGTGATTTCGGGGCTTACGAGCGGCCCTTTGTCGGTGCCTCGGAGTACACTTTGGGAGACTACACGGGAAGAGACACCAAAGCGTCCGCGGAGGCCTGCGACCAGGTGCAGTGCCTCCTCCGGGCCTTTTGCGGCCGCGTCAAGGCGATCGAGGGGGGTGGGGCCGCGGACCCGGAGTGGAGCAGACGCTCGCTGTGTACCCACACGGTGCTTTGCGCGATCTTCGAGTCGTCGATGCGGGACGGCGTCGACGTGGGCATCGTCCGGGGGAACACGGACACAAGGGCCACCGGGTACGTGATCGAGGGACAGACCTACGGGGACCTGCCGACGAGGGACTGGAGCCAAGCCACCAGAGGTCCCTGACGAAGGGGAGCCTATCTTTCCTGCTGCTGCTAGTACTGTACTGAGAGCACAAATGTTCGTTTCCCCGCCCTGTTAGACGAGGATTCTTGCTAGAGAAGGAGGTCGTTGGTACTAGTAATACGCCTTTTAGGTATTAGCACTACAGTAATACAGAAACAGTTTCAATTTCAAGTTTCAACTATTGATTACAGATTACAACAAGTACCGTACTGTCGTACGGTACGATACGTACTAGTACTACATGCATGATTTTGAAAAAAGATTTTCTCCGGATCCTCTTGTACTGTATCGTTGCGTTGCGTACCATTACGAACGTACCGTACGTGCGAGGTCCGATGGATTTCTGAATTCGAGAACGAAATCGTCGACAAAAATCCATCACAAATCACAACCCTGTTCTGTTTGGACCCTGCGATGGAATGCATTTGAGAGCGGTGCCTGTTGCAGAATACAACAGCATACAAACCAAGAGAAGGCAACAAACCAAACTATACTCGAACAGAACAAACGAGAATCGGCAACAAGCAACAAGCGATTGCACCGGTCTTCCTCCAACACGAAGAGAGCATGCTGGCTGGAATGGTGGCAACCCGGGGGGGCATTGCCTTGCCCCTGGCACGGAAGTTGTGCTCGCAGGAGCACGGGAGGCAGCGCCTCGTGTCTCGCTTCTCTGGCCAAGCCGGGGGCGGCGGTGCTCGCAGGCGCTATTCCCTCGCGATCGCACGGAGGGTCCCGAGGTCCTTCCCGGAGGCCCTGGGCACCTCGCAAGGCAGCGGGGGCGAGATCGACCGCGAGAGGGCCGAGGCCGAGCACGAGCGCTACCTGGCCGCCCTGCGGAAGCACGTTCCCGTCCTCTGCCTGCCGGCCCTCGACGACCTGCCCGACTCGGTCTTTGTCGAGGACACGGTCGTGGCCGTCGGGAACAGGGCCGTGGTCACCCTTCCGGGGCATCCCTCGCGGCGAAACGAGGTGGGCCCGATCCGCGAGCTCCTGGCCGGCGGGCTGGGGATGGACGTGACCGACATGGGCTCGGTGGGAGGGGGCCGCGCCCTTTGCGACGGTGGGGACGTCCTCTACACGGGCCGGCACCTCTTGGTCGGGATGAGCGGCCGGACCAACCGGGCGGCCCTGGAGGTCCTCGAGGAGGGCCTCGGGATGGAAGCCCTCCCGATCCCCCTCGCGCGGGAGAACGGGAGGGCCTCCCTCCACCTCAAGTCCGTCCTGACCCACCTCGACGACCGGACCCTGGTGGTCCCGGAGAACGACGAGGGCCGGCGCGTCTTTTCGGCAATCCGCGACGCCACGGGCGGGGCCTACACGTCCTCGGACGCGGTCTGGCTGCCGGCCCACGCGGGCCTCTCGTGCAACGCCGTCTCGGTCGGGGACCGCGGGATCCTGGCGCAGCTGGTTCGAGGGGGGGACGCCCCCACCCGGGAGCGGCTCGAGGCGGCCGCGCGGGAGCGGGGCCGGGCCATCGAGTTTGTGGCGCAGGGAGAAGCCGCCAAGTGCGACGGGGCCCTGACCTGCTGCAGCGTGCTGCTGGATTTGCGGCCGGCCGGAGGGCTGGTACGGTACTAGTCTAGCCGGCGGGTCTTTTTTCGGTCGATTGCCGCATCGACCTGCACGGCTGGGTGTCTTTCCGGTCGGTCCCGGGCCCCCGGGTCGGTTCGAGCCGCAGAGGTGGTTGGCATCGATCGAACGAGGGGAAGAAAAACGCCGCTTCCCCGCTCGCGGCCAACAAAGGACATCGCTACAAGACAAGGTGCGGATCAGACGAATAGAGTGTTTAAACAACAAAATACAATGTTCACAGCCTACTTTTTAATGTACTTGCTACCGAACGGTTCCATTCGAGAATCATCGGTTTCGATTTCCAGACTCGTCCTCGAACCGTCGATTCGAACGCCGTAGAGGAGCAAAAGCAGACCTATTCTAATTGGGGAGATTGGTTCCTTCCCTCGAGCCGCCGTTTGTGGATTCTTGCGTTGGCGCACGCGCAGAGAGCGAGTTTCGTTGCGTCGCCGGTTCAAAAGACACAAAAAGGCGGCGGGGGTGGGAGAGGTCCTCCCGCCTAGTTGTAGTCGGTCTGATCGGCCGCGTAGACCTTTGTTCGTCCCTGGTAGGACTTGTTGGTGGTGATTCCATTGGTTCCGTCCTCCCAGCTGACGATTTCGTTGCACCAGTTGCCGATCTTGTCGCAAAAGGCCTGCATGGGGAGGATCGTGAAGGGTTCCTCCATCTGCGTCGCGAGTTCCTCAATGCCAAAGAGCAAGAGGCCGAGCATGGCCATGGTGGGGAGCATTCCGATGTGGTTCCACATGTTTCCAAAGGGTTCCCAGAGCGCAAAGGGCAGGAGGAGGAGCCAGACCGACAAAAAGCGGGATGTGTGGCGGTTGTAGATGAGGGGCACCGGAGAGGTGAGGAGACGCTCGGAGGATCCGAGGTTGTCCTCGAAGATGGTGAGGGCAGCGTGCATCTCGTTCTTTCTCAAAAAGTGCATGGGCAGGTTCTCGATGGCGAGCGAGAGGTCGTAGAGGGCTCGGTTGGGCCGGTGGGCGGCCTTGATGATGGCCTGGGCCTGCGTCTTGGGGAGGCGCTCGTAGAGCTCCGCCTTGAAGGCGTTCTCGTCCTCCTTTTCGGGGGAGAGGTGGCGCTTCATCGATCGGACAAAGGCCCAGGTGCACATGCTGAGGCGTTCCAGGTCGGCCTCTCTCTGCTCGTCCGAGATCCCGGTCTGGTCGTAGTAGGCGTTGCCCATTCGGACGAGGTCGCGGGTGTGGTTGATGTTCATTCCCCAGTTCTTGCGGGCCTCGTCCCACCGCTGGTAGGCCGTGTTGGATCGGAAGACTGCGTTTCGTTGCGGTTTGTTTCGTCGCAAGCACCGCACGGGGCAGGTTTATAGAGAAAACAGAACCAAAAGGGTCAGAGAATACTCGGGTACACGTTGCTTTCGTCCCGCAGAGCGGTACCGATGCTCCAAAGACACCGCAGCGGAGCACAACCCCAACACAACACAACGCAACGCAACGCAACACAACGCAGCCGAACACATCGCTGCCAACAACACACGCGCAATCGTCGCGGCACCTACCGAGAAGCAATCCCAGGGAAGGACTGGCCAGCGTAAAGGGCGTCGCCGGAAGCGTCAACGGAGGCAAAAAGGGACTCGAGAGGACCGGTTCGTGCAGGGCCCCCGAGACGTCCTGGTAGCCCGTGATGAGTCCGTTGTAGACCAGGACCAGCATCGTGACGGCCACGACGGCCCAGACCTCGCGGGCCAGGTTGCGGTAGATCCCCGAGGTTGGGACGCTGGCAATGTACCGGAAGAAGCGATCGGGGTCCCGGTGGCGGACCCAGTCGTCGTGGGAGTAGACGGTCCGGCGGAACTTTCGGGATCCCTCTCCGTAGGAAATGTCCTTGGACTTTCCGAGCTTGGGGGGACGGAGTCCGACCGGGAGCGTGACCGATAGGGTGGAGGACTCGGCCGACAGGGTCGGGGAGGACTGGTACTCGATCGGTGGGGGGCGGCTGGAAACCGCCGGGGGAGGCTTTGCCGCCGCGGGGGGAGCGGCGGCTACCACGGGCTSCGGAACGGCGGGGGCAGCAGCAAACACGGGTTCCGGAAGGGGTTCGGGCTCCGGCTCGGGCTCCGCTTCGAAAACCGGGGGCGCCTCGTACGAGTTGGTGGCCTCGTAAAAGACCTCCTCCGTTTCTTCCGCGACGGGAGCGCTGCCCAGGTTGTCCAGGTACGAGCCGTAGGCGGAGGGGACCGGGGCGGAGGGTGCTTCTTCTTCCACCGCTCCGGCCTCTGCCGGCTGCTGCGACGGGGGGGGACCCCGGTTTTGGAATTTCGCGTACTGGTCGTCGTAGCTATCGTACAGCCTCGTGGTGGTGGCCGTTGCCGTTGCCGCTGCCCTTCGCGCCGCGGAACGGGGGGCCGCGACCGAGTTGAAGGCCATTGCCGGCATCGACGAAGCGATCACCGCTGCCGCGAGGGCTGCCATTGTCTTTGCCGCTGACATGGTGTGGATTGGGTTGGGTTGGATTGGATCGGGAGACCGGACTGGATTCTGTCGGAGGAGATCGGGGAAACTCGGATCGCAGTTGGCAACCGTGTGCTGTTCTGTTCTGTTCTGTGCTGTGCTGTGCTGTGCTGTGCTGGATGTGCTATAGATCGACGGGACGATATCCTAGTCTTCTAAGCCACCAAACGGAAGTGTGAATCTGCCGCAGCGACTGTATCTCACGAGTATAATATATATTGTGCTTCTGGCTGAAAGCGGGTGGTGCTTTTGAGTGTTTTGTCGCATGTCTTGGCATCACTGATGCGCTCTGCACGGATCCAACAAGTTTTGTTGTGTTTTCTACGAGCTATCCCGTACTCATACGTACGTACGCAAAGAAACGACGGACGACGAACCGGATCTTGCAGCACGGAAGCGAGCAACAGCTTGCTACGCGTACTAGCATGCAGACCCATCTTGATGGCCATCCTGCGTGAAAGAGGGCCTCATCGCATCGGGGTGTGGGGCTTGCCCATTTCGTGTACGGGGAAAAAGACACAGGACAACACGGTGGAACAGACCACACACGTATTTGTACTATTTCTACTACTACGGAGCAGTGCCAAAGGGGGATGCGATCTTTCTACAACCGAAATCTTACGTCACAGGAATTTTGATAGGAACCGGGAGGCCTTCTGACGTCACAGAACCCCGAAACAGGTGAGATACAAATTCTATTGAAAAAGATCGATAATTCTGTTCGCAATGAACTAAGGGGTGCTTCCGGTTTGGGAAATGATTACGTCACGAACGAGATTGACTTGCTTCGAAGGATTCAAAAACCCAGGAAAGCGCTGCAACGGGTACGTTCATACGGTACTCGTACTTTACCGTTCACATCGCGCATTGCATTGCGCATCGCATCGCTTACGTCAGGCATGCTGTACGTACCGATGCAGCACACTTATTGAGTCAAGCGAGTCGATTTCGGGTGCGGCCTTCGGTCGAGTCGACTAAGTCAAAGAAACCAGCCCCGGCCGTCACGGGGTGTTTCGCGGCAAAACCAGAGGCATTATCAAAATCGAAATAAAAAAATTAAAATGTCATCATCACTCCATCGGTGTCGTCGACAAACAAGTGTCGGTGCCGGTGTGTTTCTCAACCATTTCTCTCGACCACTAGCAAGGCCAGCAAATCGGCCTTTTCGTGGGTTGTTCCTTTTGTGGGACGAGGGGACGAGGGGATCGCTGCCGGAATCRCAACCAAACGCAGCACARACTTGCCTCGCATGGTTCTTTCCCTGGGAATGAACCAGAACCAGCAACATCGACGGCTTCGCTTCGTCTGTTGGAGGATGCCGGGTGGCAACGTTTGTTTTTGTGGAAACTGACATTGGAATTGACATCGAAATTTTCATTGGCATCGACATCAATATCGACATCGACATCGACATCGACATCGACATCGACATCGACATCGAGATCCGAATTTATAGTGCAGGTGCCGCGAGTGCCATTTGTATCGCCGGTGTTCGAGAACGCGCGACGGGACACAAGAATGTTTGCAGCGGCCAACACCGCCGTGGGAGCGGGAGCTGGGGCGGGGCTTTCCGCCGGCAATGAAAGGGAGCCTTCTATAGGGGAAGCACCATTGCTTCCGGTCGCCTATCCGACCTCCGGATCGCTCCCCTTTCCCTATCCGGCGGGGCCCTATCCGCAGCAAGCGGCCCTCATGGACGCCCTTCTCGAGGGAATTCCCCGCCGAGAAACCGGGGGGGGGACGGCCACGCCCGCAGCGAGTGCAGGCACGCAAACGCAAACACAAACACAAACACAAACACAAACCCGCAAGACCCGCATCCTGGCCCTGGAATCGCCAACGGGGACGGGGAAGAGCCTCTCGCTGGCATGCGCGAGCTTGGCGTGGCTGGACCACGAGGAACGYCTCTACCGGGATTCCGGCGACCCCGGTGGCAGCRSCGGTGGAAGCGTGCACCAGCCCACCGGTGGGGCCGCAACGGCTCCGGGAGCGCCGATTCCCTGCCAAGAGACGGGGATCGGCTGGCTGGATTCCTGGAAGCCGCCGCGGGGAGAAGAATCGGAGGGRGCGGGGGAGCGGGGAGGGGGAGAACGGCACCGGAGGCTCCTCCGGGCGCTGGAGGACCTGCGGAACCAGCTCCATCCACCCAGTCGGAGCGGCCAGCAGCAGCAACAGCACGAAGAAGACACGGCCGAGCAGCAACACACGCGGCTGCGGGAGCGGCGAGAAAACACGCTGCGAATGGCCCTCACCAAGTCTCGAATGGAAGAACGAAAACGAGCCAGGGACCGAAAGCGAAAGCGAAAACGAAGGTCCACCGCGCAACCCGCTCCGTCGCTGGCCTACGAAAGCGACGACGGTAGTGGCGAGACAAAGAAAAACAACAACGACGGCGGAAGCAACCGCTTCCGGAGCAAGCTCGAAGGCCTGGCAGAGGGATCGGCGGAGTGGCTCCTGCACCCGGAACACGCTCCGTCGTCGTCGTCGTCATCGTCATCGTTTGCCTCGCGATTGCTGTGGTCCGGTGGTTCCGATCCAGAAGAGCGGGCGGCGCAAAAGCCCCCGCAGGTTGTTTATGCCGCCAGAACCCATTCCCAGCTATCGCAATTTGTCCGGGAAATCCGAAAGACCGTGTGGGGAAAGACCCTCCGGGTGGTGACACTGGCGAGCCGGGGGCAGGGACTCTGTGGGGAACTCACGGGCCGCAAGCACCACCACCAAAGCAAACCATTCCACGGCAACCAAGGTCATAGCAGCAGCAGCAGCAGCAGCAACCGAGAAACGAGGCTGATGGAAGCCTGCCTCGACCTCCGCAAATCCAAGAAGGGCTGCTCCCACTACCCCAGCGACGRATCGGTCGCTACTCTGGCACTGCACGGGCTCGCAGAGGGGGCGACCGACCTCGAGGACCTCGTCGTCCTAGGGGGAGCCACGAGGACCTGTGCCTATTACGCCACGCGCATGGCCCTCCCCCACGCCCAGCTGGTGGTGGTCCCCTACACGACCCTGTGCAGCTCCAGGAGCCGGGCCTCGCTGGGGCTGGAACTCCATTCGAACACGCTGGTCCTGGTCGACGAGGCCCACAACCTGCCGGCCGCCATCGGCCATCTGACCTCCGCGGTCCTGGCCCTGGGCCACTGCGAGGGGGCGGGGGAGCAGCTCACCGGCTACCTGGCGAAGCACCGGGACAAGCTGTCGGCGGTTCACCTGCGGTGGCTGGGGCAGCTCAAGCAGCTGATCCGCGGATTGATCGCGGGCATGATCGGCAACACGAACAAGACCAAGACBAAGAATGCAATGGCGCCGCAAACGGTGCCGGAGGAACACCGGGACCATCCGCAACAGCGGTTGCTGCTGTCTTCCAGCCAGTTCTTGGTGTCACAAAAACTGGAAGCCATCAATCTGTTCCCCATTCTGCGGTACATGGAAGAATCCAGGCTCTCGCAGAAACTCCTGGGCTTCATGCCACCACGAGAGACGCCAGAAACGACGGACGGAGGCGGTGCTTCGTCGTCGCCGCCGCAGTCTTCWCACGTATCCCCCATGTCGATCGTAGAAACATTTCTGGAAAAACTCACCTACGCCAGTGACAGCGACGGAAAGGTGGTAATCGACCGGGGRCAGCGAGCCACAAACCCGAATGCAAGCCCACGCAGCGGCGGCAGGGAAGCCTGYCGCTACGAAACCGAGCCACACCTCCGTTTCTGCGTCCTGAACCCGGCCGTCCATGCCAGTGACGAGCTGTGGACCGCTCCGAGGGCCGTGGCACTGGTGGGTGGAACCCTGCAGCCACTGGACGTGATGATGCGGGAGCTGGTCCCCGGGACCATCGCAGAACACGCGGCCCGCGCACAGGCCTCCTGGAGCGATCGGGGACCGGATTCCAAACCTACCGCGGCCGCAACCATCAACCCGTACGCTCGCAAGAATCGAACAACGCCACCGCCACGCACCACAACAACAGTAACAACAACAACAACAACAACAACTCCCAGTACTACTACTCATATCGTTGCTACAAAGCACCACCACAAGAATAGGAATCGCGAGAGCCACCATAGATTATACCGAAGCGAGGAATTCTGGGCCTTTACCTGCGGACATGTGGTAGATCCTTCYCACGTTCTCCTGCAGTCCCTCACCAGGGTCGGTGGCACACAAATCGATGTACGGCACAAGACCAGGTCGATGCCTTCGATGACCACCGCCATTGGAACCGCGTTGGTCCGCTTGTGTGGGAGCGTTCCAAACGGAATGGTGGTATTTTTGCCCTCGTACAAGTACGAGGCAGTCCTGGTGGAAGCCTGGAAACGGAGGGGTTCTTCCGCTGGATCCGGGAGCAGCGGCRTGAAGCACGCAACCATTTGGGACCAGTTGCAAAATGCGACCACSGTCGTCCGAGAACCAAGAGAGGCCTCCCAGGTAGAAGCCACGCTAACTCGATACGCCCAGGCAGCCACGAAATCTCGAAAGGGTGCTCTGCTTCTATCGGTAGTCGGTGGAAAGCTTTCGGAGGGGATCAATTTTTCCGACGATCTCTGCCGGTGTGTYGCGGTGGTCGGTCTGCCCTTTGCCGATCGATCCGACCCCCTTTTGCAGGAAAAGCTCAAGCTCGTTGGGTCCAATGGCAGCAGTAGCAACAGCAGCAATGACATAAACTCACAGGCGGCAAGGGATTACTATCGGAGCTTGTGCCTGAGAGCGGTCAACCAGAGCGTGGGACGGGCCATTCGGCACGCCGGGGATTGGGCCACCATCGTACTGATGGATACGCGGTACCCAAATGAYGAGGCCATCGCTCGGGGCTTGCCCTCCTGGTTGACCGAGAGCACCCCTTMCTGGAGGAAGGATTCCGGAGACCTAGAGAACCTGATCCTCCGGTCTGAATCCTTCTTCCGYGGTACCCTCCGTTTTTAGCGAGGAAGAAGAGAGTCATTGCGTCGATTGGATGAATTTGCGCGGTATGCGGTAAATTAATAGGATGAAACGGCTCGAGTTTCTGCTTTGTGGTATCGTTGTTATGGACCCTTGCATGAGCAATAGTTTGCTTCTTCCACCATGCAGTCATCCAATTATCGCAAATGTTCATAAAGGATCATAACATTTCCATTACAGTACCTGACCTTGGAGGGGTGCCAACTGGTTACGCGACTTGTCGTCCTAATGTTTCAGAACGCCATTAGCTTATGGTTTAGCATTATTTACATCGTGTAATTGAAATTCATGGAATCGGAAACATCAATAAGTTTAAGTACGAAGTACAGTACAGTTATTTTTCGACTGGAACAGTCCTTCTTGGAAACGGCGTCTGAGTGGGGGGTTGCTTAGTGAATGAAGGTACTAAACGATACAAGTACGAAGCCTAAGCACGTACTCCTTTGCAACCGATATTGCAAAACGTTCAAAATTGGTGCGGAACATRCGGTATCGTACCGTACGGTACCAAGGCTAGGTGCCAAGTTTTTTTTGACGTGGTTAGTTATGGTAGGTATCGTATGTTAGATACTTCTACTACGTACCTTTGATCGTGCCCCWAAGACCACGAATGCGATTCAATTGCAAGTCGTGGGAGAGGATTTCGGATTTTAAAGATCGCATGATGAACCTTCAAAATTTTGTATGGAAAATAATCTTGCAGAATTCCTCCCCATTTGGTCGTGCTGTCTGTTTTCTTCCAAAGCAGTCATTGTCATGACGAATCGATGGCGATCGYGCAGATCAAAATTTTGCTACCAGAGTTGCCCTGTTCAAGCAATCAACCATGTTGACGAATCTCATGACCAGCATGATTGATACTTGCCACCCTTCCAYCTACGGTTTCGCCTCAACATCTGAGCAAAGAAATCTAGCCCCGCCCAGGTATGTCAGATCGGAAGAAATACATGAAGCAGCCTTTGCTCCAATTCCAACCAATAAGTGGTGGGGTAATCTAATCCACCAAGATATGAACAACCCCGACGGACCGATTGAACCGATTTGGAGCAATCCGTACGCCATTCGTGTCGTTCCCGGAAAAGGTCTGGTTGTGAGCGGAATCCAYCGYCATTACGGACCGTGCCTGGAGATTAACCCCAAGGTCAAAGCTCTGAAATATTATGCCCACGCATTCATTGATGACATTATTCTGTCGGCGGTRGATCTGCCTGCCGGTCTAGATGTATACGGCTGGRATGATTTTGGCGTTCGGATCCAACTCGGAAAAAGAATGAATTCGTCTCTGGTGAGAGGCATGGCTTTCGTTTCTGCGACTTATGGTCTCGGGACAAGGCCTCGAATCGAAACCATTCACGCTATTTCATCGATCAATGGCGAAGCACCAAGCCCTGACGCATATTACGCAGTATCACCAGGCTCGAAACTCGTCCTCGAATTCAACAACGGTCAGTTCTGGACCGTGTACGCCGACCAAGACATAAGGTTTTCGAAGGAAGGCTCTGGCTTAACCGCAACCGATGCAGTCGATACAGCCACCACGGTGCGAATTGCGAGGGTGGAGAATCCGGAAAATCGGTTGGATGTACTGGACGAATACGCGAAATGCGTAGTCCTGGGGGGRSGCGTCCAATTCCTAAGCCACAAGCGTTACAATCTCGAGTGGGAGACGGTTGGGGAAGGATCATTTCTCCATTTTGCACTCGAACACCACCTCCATTCCTTTCTGGAACCCCCTACAAATGTTTCCATTTTGGCTGAATCCACTACCCATGGCCGGATGCATGGCATTTGCTCTTCTAGATCGCGGGATAATGGGCGCATCAGAGTCTGGGAACTTGCGGAACYGAAATCAATGCCAATCAGATTCGAGCCGCAGCATGGAATTGATCCAGCGTATGTGAAGGAATTTCGAATYGACGAGCGCTTGAAAGAGGAGATTGAATCTAGCTGGGTGATTTCAAGGGAAGGGAGTTACTACTTCAACGGRAAGTTGATGCAAAAGTTTGCCTCCCTTTGCCTTATGGCACACGACGACGCCATCAACAGGGACGACAAAATAAAACGAATCTGCCTCGAAAAGTTAGCATCTCTATGGGATTCTTTTCTGTCAAACGGAGACGGTGAATGGCCTCATCCTCTAGTCTTTGATGAAATCTATGGGGGAATCGTCTCTTCGGAGGGGTTTAAGAAGAACGACCAAAACGTTGATTTTGGAAATACAGTCTACAACGATCACCATTATCACTACGGTTATTGGCTGGTATCTGCTTCAATCTTTTTGCACCTTCACCCGGGTTATCCAAGAGCGAAGGAACTTCGAGGGAAAATAGACGTTCTGGTAAGGGACGTCGCGAATCCAAACGCAAGCGATCACTGGTTTCCCAGGTTTCGCCATTTCGATTGGTTCCTCGGTCACTCCTACTCGCATGGAGTGACACCCATGGCCGATGGGAAGGACCAGGAGAGTATCTCGGAGGAAATCAATTTTCATTACGGATTGATGCTCTGGGGCATGGCCACAGACCGACTGGATGTCGAGCAACT